CTCTGTGATGGCCCCACGTTCTGGACCTGCTGTGCTTGTTGCCTGGCAGCTTTTCCAAGGCCATTTTTATTGATGCGACCATAAGCACCTGGCCAGTGTCCCAGGAGTATTTAAAACTTGGACCAGGGCTCAACAACTGATCTCAATATCCATTCCTCTGGCATGGTGCATGTATTTTGGCTAACGTTGCTCTTAAGGTTAGACCTCAAGGCTTCACGCACTGTCCTCCATTCATATCATTTCCCCATTAGCTGACACATTTCTATATGATAAACATAACTTGTGACATACAGACGATCTAAAAAAAAACATTTTTTAGAACTACATTTAGCTTAAAAGTTGTTTGCTTTTATTTACTCCGGAGCTTGTCTACGTCAGAGCACAATCGGTAAGTCATTGAACTGGATTATGAATGGGGTTGTTGAAAGTTGTAAATTAGATCATCAAGTGTACAACAGGGCTTGGATAACTCTGGATAGCAAACAGTGGCAGCAAAGATTAGTGCAAATGAGACACTGTGGCTTAAAAAGCATCCACAGTACTACGAACCTGGTATGTTTAAATGAGAATATTTGATTTCTTTGAACCCTTTGATATTTCTTAATGTGATGTGGCTTTGCTAAGGCTGTTTTTATCATCACCTCAGCAAAACTGAAGCTGTCTGTTCTAATTAATTATTTACAAGTCGAACCAAATCTGTGATTCAATTAAAGGCTGCTTGCCCTTCTAAACACAGTTCACGGCATAACTCACCTGACTATAAATATCTGCTTTGGTACTTACAGCTCCTGTGTGTGGCAGGTTTTCTCTGTTGTTAATACAGAGCACATTTTTCTACAGTAAGGGTAATAACTGTACAACACGAGCTGTTCAACTCTGAATAGTGCAAAATGTGCAAGTGACCAACAGTTTTTTCTGCCTTAAGCCACTGTATCAATCATTGCTAATTTACCATAAACTGGAAATGTGCATGTAGAGTCTCACAGATGTTGACTGTAGAATAACATGGGCTTTATTCCATTAATTTTGACATGCATTTAAAACTGATAGTGTAACTGTACAAGCGTTTGTTTGTGCTGTGGCTGTATTCAATCAGCAAAACAACTTTTGGCCTACCCATTCACTGAGTGCTATGTTCGTGCCTGGCCTGGCCTGAGGGAATTTTAAACTAACCTTAAATACGCACAAGGAAGCTGTCCAAAATGTTTAAGTTCTTATAAACAGAAATACTCACTCATGTCTGATTTGTGCCACTCAAAACACTGGAAAGGTCACTCACAATTACAGTACCTTTCAAACATTTTATGATGGATTTTTCTGAACCACCAAAGGTTTGTTGAATTACAACTATGGTGCAGTTCAAGGTTTGGCTGAACACTTGCCTTTAGAGATGCTACTTGCTGAGGGTGGAGGAGTCTGTGCTCTAATGAGTGACTCCTGTTGTACTTTCATACCAAACAAAAGCACTCCAGATGGTTCTGTAACCAAAGCCAGAAACCAGATGGTTCTTCATGTAGAACTGTCCCATAATTCAGGTGTAGATACTGTATTCACTGGCTGGCTCAACTTGATGTTTGGTAAGTGGAAATAAGTTCTTATTTTCCTTCTTACAGGTGGCACAGCTGGATTACTTTTGTTGTTTTGTGTGGTTGTTGCTTCAGTCCTTGTCCCAGAAGTCTGATTGTTCATACCATAGATAAGTCACTTTCTTCTCAGATGATGCAACTCACCCCTCCTTTTGCAGGACATTCATAAGAAGGCTCTGTTGAATCTGATGACAAATTGTATGCTTAATTTGAAGTGTTTAAATTAATTTTGGAACCTTTATCACTCACCTTGTGATTGAATGAAGGTTGATGCTATTGATAAAGTTGTTACTATTGCATTGTATTATGCAAGTTGGTGCAGCGTTATGATATAATGATAGTGATCACTTTAGTAGTGATTAACATGATATGGATCATTATAATCAGAAGTGGGGACCAATACCAGGTGATGGAAACCAATATATGTATAATGATTTTTTTCATTTCTCTTTAGGGATTTTCCACAAGTGAATGTATTTTGAAGGTTCTTTTCTTGCCTCATGGTAATCTCTTCTCCTTTACAGTCTGAGAGAAAGTCCTCTCATACTTGCTCTATTACATGTTTTGTCTTGAGGACTGCCTGCTACATTTTTTAGATAATGGCAGATGGCCTTCATGAAATGTACTGGTTATTGTATGATGGTAGACAGATCTTAACTGAACAGGTGTGAGGGTCAGAGGTTTGACACCTCCCTCACCCCCAGTTCAGGGAGGGTATAATATGTATTATGATTTTGATTTGCTTCAGAGCGGTTTGTAACGTTGTATAAACGACTTGTATGATCCTGCTGGTTGCTCTCACTTAATGACGTTTTCCTTTTTAATACATTTCTATTTATTACTTCCGGAGACAGAAGACTCTTGCTTAAGAGTACAATTTCCACAACAATTACAATCAAATTTAGTTTGTTTTGTCTGCTATCAAACCTACACATGGTAAAGTTAACAATGGCAGGCCCATGTCAATCCATAGACATGGACAGTTAGACGATTAGGTTTCCTGCAAGGACAGTTCAAAAACCCCAAATGCATCACACGACTTTATCCTGTTGTTGTGCCTGGCCGTGAATCAAACCAACATCATGGTGGATAGACCAAGGAGGATAAATTTTCATGCGAGATGATAGGCTTAGTTCCGGCTAAATGAATTGGAATACTTTCACAAATCACAGAACCCTGTCTTCAAAATTTTGGCTGGCAAGAAAATGTGGAACAAAAGTACTTCTTAGAGTTTTCACAGCTGCAGGCTGCAAGTGTGGATCTGGCTTATCCCAGGCAGCTATCTGCAAATCTGGATGATGTACTTTCATGCTAGGAAAACAGCTGCTTTCTAAACATTGCAGTTTGAAGCCGACATGTTTAATTTCCTTTTGTGTATTCTTCTTTCTTTTATCGATCCATCTGTTGTCATGTGACACATCTTTAATAGAATGTGTCTCGCATTCAGCAAAAGAATAGTTTACTTGGTGTTTGATTTCTGAGGTGGTAAGCATTCCTATTTTTTGCAGCTTATTGTTGTTGTTTTTTCAGTTAATGTGGTGATCCATCCATCCCTCCATTTCTGTACCGCTTATTCCCAATGGTTTGGCAGGGGGACTGGAGCCTATCCCAGTATACAATGGGCGAGAGGCAGGGTACACCCTGGATGGTCTGCCAGTCCATCGCATTAATGTGGTGATACTGTTCCATTTTCTACAGACCACACAAAAATAGAAAAACTTGTTGGGGCCAGGGCTGTTGGGTCTGCCTGGCAAATGGTGGGTCCTGGGCAACAGTGGGGCCGTAAAGCATGACTGCCTTCTCTTGGAGGGATTAAGTCCCTCTTGGCTTGCATCCCTTTACCCCTCTACCCTCTGGCTCCAGAACACAGATCACACTCACACGTAGGGTTTCGGGGGCCATGGGGGATCTGCACAGTGCAGCTGAGAGTACCAACCAGGTGGTCCTCTTTTCTGCACCCTGCAGCACCCTCATGCCCCCTCTTTTATCAGCACTTTAGATACTACTAGGCCCAGGGGGGGCTCCTCGGGTGGTTGGGACTGCTTGAAGGACCTTGCTCTAAGGCTTTGCAACGCCACCCACGCTGCTGTTTTAAATGCTTAGAAGACATGGAGCACCTCTGTCTGTCAGTGACAGAGTTGTCCTCAACTCACTTGGAGTGACTGTGTTCTTGGTTGGGTCTGGTTCCTGGGTCTGGTTCTGGGTCTTCTGTCCTCTGGTCCACTCGTGCTGTTCCTGGCCTTGGGGCTTGATTAAGCTTGATTAATGGGGCATTCATTTAACAAAAAAAGGGGAATGAGAAATCAGCTTCCAATCTCATGGTTTTACAGATTGTTTCCTGTGACCTTGAGCTGATTGAAAATTGTGGCTGAAAAATATACATAATGTCCATATTAGTGTTAAACCACTATATATATATATATATAACCACAGTATATAACAGATGTATCATTTTACCTTTTACCTCCCTGCATTTGTTGTAATGCTTGCTTTGACTTTCAAACATTCTCACATTTGTGCTAATTTGATAATATCTATTTAAGTTTAAAAAGAAAAAGTAGTTTATACAGAAATTACAAAAATTGAATTTGTCAATTTCTATAATTAATCCTCATTTTTGCTTTGGTTGGCCATATAAGTTTTTTGTGGAAGATGATAAATAACAATGACTGACAATATAAAGGAAAAGGAAAAAAAAGTAATAGGTTTATAGTAGGTGACATGACTTAGTTGTATTTATGAGTGAAAACACTTATAAATAACATTTCTATTTAGTAGTTTTTTTTATATACTTTGAATTTTCTATGATAATGATTTAAAAACTGTGTGTAAACTGTATGTTGGATTAAATCAAGGAAGAACTGCTATGTTGTTTTATTTCATACATTATGATCACATTGATGCATGACTTTAGATGACAGGACTTTGTATTATATTCTGTGCGGATAGCAACACATTTCAGTGTCACATAGATTGAAATGAGCAATAGATTTGCCAAGGTTATGCACAAAAGATGACCCAATCTATTTGTCAGATAGCTTTACCAAATCAAGTGTAGTTGAGAAAGACAGAGTGCACTGTGTTTACCACATTTGAAACAATATATTTCAGTAGAAGATACATATTGTTTTGCTTTTTTTCTGAATAACAGTCAAACCAACTTTAGAGGAGAACAATAAAGACCTTTGTTTTTAGACAAAAACATCATTTTAATCCCCATTTATTTTTCCGTCTATACCCAACTGCAACCAGCAGGGCGCAGTCTACTTCCTCCATTGTGCGGAGATTAAACAAAAGAAGAAGAGCCGGCTCCTGAAGCTGAATGAGTGAACCCGATGTGCTATTAAGTCAGGTGCTTTTTTAGTTTAAGCGATTTGTTGTTTTAACTGCTGAAGGTTGTAGTTTTGGCCGATAATGTCCGGGATACCCCCAGACACTTGGCAGCCCTCTACCGTGGCCGTGGAGACGACGTAAGTTCTCATGAAAACACTGAATGCTAACTATGCTAACTGTTCAATGAAGTGTGGCACATCAGCTCCGTGGGGCCGTGCATGTGTGGGTTTCTAAACGATTTAGATTTAGGCTTTTTTCTCCGGTATGAGAAATTACAGAGACAATGCATTGCAGGATGGGGACAGTTGTGGTTGAGCTTTACTGGAACCATGCTCCAAAAACCTGCAAGAACTTCGCAGAGCTTGCCAGAAGAGGCTATTACAACAACACCAAGTTCCACCGGATAATCAAAGACTTCATGGTGCAGGGTGGAGATCCAACAGGGACAGGTAGGTTCTAATGCAAAGCACGTCTGAGAGCAGTTTGTTGTAGACAGTGGTGACACACGTGTTTCAGTGTGATTAAGGGTCCAGAGAGGCACACTTCCTCACAGACCCCTACTACATTTAATAGATTCATACTTGATATTTAGAGCAAAAGACTATTGGACAGTTGAGAATAGATTTAATGGTTTCACAGTCCTGAATAATTGCCTCACCAAAATCTGTGTGATCTCTGCTTCACTGACAGGTCGAGGGGGTGCCTCCATATATGGCAAACAGTTTGAAGATGAACTGAGCCAAGAGCTGAAATTCACAGGTAAACATAAACAGCCATGAAAGATGTGCCAGATATGTGGGGCATCTAGTTTAAATGGAGGGACTGTTTAGCTGATTAACATGTGTTTGATCATGTAAAGTGTTTGTGACTGACTGTAACAATGTTGCTTTATCTGCCTGTCTCTTAGGTGCTGGAATTCTGGCAATGGCCAATGCTGGGCCTGACACCAATGGGAGTCAGTTCTTCTTCAGTCTGGGGCCCACTCAGTGGCTAGATGGAAAGCACAGTATCTTTGGAAGAGTGTGCCAGGGGATGGGAGTGTTGAACCGGATTGGCATGGTGGAGACAAACTCCCAAGATCGCCCTGTTGATGATATAAAAATTGTCAGAGCTACTGTACCCAATTAGAAAAAAACGTTTTTGTATTGGTTATGTTTTTACACTTATTTTTTAATAAATAAAAGAATATATAAATGCTGTGATTTTTTTTTTTTGTACAAAGTCTGAGACCACAATGAATGACTTCACACTCAAAGAACGAGTTGTAATTTTACATTTTTATTGAACAATCTGTTGCATTAAAAAATAGTGATTCTTGTCCAAAGTGTTATTTATAAATCATTTCCCTTATTTTATCAACTAGCAACTAAATATCAGAATCTGGACCCTTTGAAACAGTCCAAATGCCCTGATTGTGGTCTTTTAGTTGACTACAATCAACTACAATTGGCTACCCAATACACACAACAACAGTTTGGTCTTTTATGAAAGCCTACTTACCATTTATAAAGAAGAGTGTAGATGTAAACTACATGTAATATACTTTAAAGAATAATGTTTTCAACTTAAGACATTTTGCACTGGACAACAATAATTTTTCATTACAACAAATATCAGTAAATAAAATCTAGAAAACCTCAAAATATAAAAAAGATTTTAAAAAAAAGCTGCATGCTGTTGCTAATTGCTTGGCCATGAGTGAGCTGTAAGGATTTACATCTCTCAAAAACACTTCAACACAAGCATCTGGGAAGGTGCTGCCTTTCCAGATTTCTCAATTTCTGCTGTCTCTTTGGTTGTGATTATTTTTGTTTTATTTCGCTTGGCTCTACCTTACAGCTCGTTAATGCGGTTAAGAAAATGACTGACCATTAAATCTGGTGACATCTAAATCCTATAACTTACTTTGTTTGCTAGCACCCACTGCTAGCAAACAAATTGAAAGCAACCCAATAGGAATGAAAATACCAAATGAAAATAGAGGTTAGATTCTCTGAAAAAAGATACACCCATATATGATATAACTGTGTTTACCAGGCGATTTATACCAAGGAATATTGTTCTATGAGTCTATGCATTGATTTGAATTCTAGCATTTTATAGCATTTGGTCATTTGGTCCGTCATTGCTGGCATGCAATGAAGCCTCAATGCCTGCCATTCCTTTGGCCATTTTTGGAAGGTCATCTGCAGCCCGGGAGCTTGTCTTGATACGCTGGGGAAATAAACATTATTGTCAAAAGAATGCCTCTTTCAGCAGGGAAGCAACACAAAAAAGTTCCAATAAAGCTAACAAATTTGAAAGAATTACATTTGAGGTCTATAACTGACCTCCCAGAGTGTCCCTTTTTTTTTGGCTAGGATGAAGATCATGTTGAGTGGGATCATAGAGAGTGAAGACATGGCCAGAAACCAGCCAAAACAGTATGCCCACCATGGGTACACATAAACATTGTTGAACCGGACTGGGGTGTATTTCAGGAGCAAAAATAGAAGGGTCCCCTTTAAAAGTAAAGAAACATAAATTACTTCATGGAGTCACAGTAAAAATGAATTTTTAAAAATGTATGGGGAAAAAATCTCACACTGCAAGTCAGAGGGGTGATGTACATCCAGCAGTACTGGAACAGAGACAGCGGTTTGTAGCCAATCATATCTTCAATGTTGTCTACAAAGCGTCCAGCCCCTATGACAGAGACACTTGTGTTACTAAAACAAAGCTGCACAAAAGCCACATTAAAAAGTAAGGCAGCGTTTTTTTTAATGCAGGTTTCCAAGCCTTTAAAGTCTTCATTAAAAAGTTACTTAATGTCAATGTCAAAATCCTTTTAGGATAATAATTTTCTCTGATGAAAAAGTGATCTATTTATTCATCATTACGCTTAAAACAATTGCGGTGCAAAATAACTAAATAAAATGCAAAATAACAACCAAACAAAACAAAAAGATGTGGACGTATTCGCATCTCAGTGACTGCATTCCTGCTTGGGCTTGGTAATACTCAGTCCTTTAAAGTCCTTGTTGACTCATGACAAAGTGTATCTGTTGGGATTGTGCTGTTTGTCTGGGACAGAAAAACTAAAAAACATGTCTTCTATATTACCCTACCGTAAATCCATCCAATGATCACTGACTGGAAGATTGCCATCAGTAGAAGAGTGGGGCCACTGCATACATAATGATCGAAGATCTGCAGAATGTATGCTCCAGCCTGAAAATAAAACAGTCAATAGACTGGTACCCTCACACTTTATTATATTCAACAACAAGTCATGACTCAGTGACGTGAGTTTGACTCAATCAAAATGACTACTGTGAATGAATACTATGTTTTGGTATTCATCATAGTGGTAATACTGGTTATTTTCTAATCAAACCACCTTGATAGAAAAAATTAGCTTAAGTGGCCAAATGTACAATTGTCTGAAAGCTCACCTCTGATACCGTAACCAGTCCCAAACCAAAGTTAATAGCGCAGATCAACATCAGATAAAGCTCCCTGCGGTATCCCCTTTGGATGTGTGAAGGGAACATGTCTGTCAGAGAGGTCATGATGCTTTCGAGCCCCGCAAACTGGAGGAAGACACCGGGACAGATTGAGGGAAGAAATGAGATAACGGTTTCAAGGAAATTCAATTTTAAGGAAAAATAAAAGTGAATTCAGCTAACCTGGCCATCGATCCCTAACAGGATGATCATTAAGAAGAAGCAGGCAGACCAGAGCTGAGGCCAGGGCAGCAGGGTCACTGCCTGTGGGTAGACGATGAAGACAAGGCCAGGTCCTGCAAAGGGAAACCTGCAAGTCAATCATTTCTGGCTGCCACCTCGTCTTTATTTACAGCTTCTCTGTGACAACAACGGCATCCTTAAAGCTTATATATCATCTAAGATTTCTCATTTGATTATTTAAAGCAGAATAGTGAGCAACTGAGAAAAACAAAGTTAGTACAGTAAATCATTTGAAAATTTCCTGCCATTTTATGCATTTCTATTGTGTAATAAAGTGATTAATTTCTAGAAGAAGGCATGACAGTTTGAAAGCTTTGGCATGTGTACCTGACTCAGCAACAGCAGAGATGTCAACACCCTGCTTTTGTGACATGTAGCCCAGAATTGAGAAAATAGCAAATCCAGACATAAAGCTGGTCCCACTATTCAGCAAGCAGAGATAGAAGGAGTCTCTGCAAATGGAAAGAAGTACAGAACACATTTATGTCTTTGTAACACAAAAATGTGATGGACTGATCACAGAGCTTGAACCATCTCACTGCAAATGAGTAAATAAGCAGCTGCTGTAAAGCACCAATTGAGGTGATGTTGGAAGGTAATTCAAATCTGGCTATTAATAAGAGTTCAACACCATTCAGAAGCTCATTGGAGAAATGCCTATGAATTGGGTAACATGGTGAACACTAAAATGGTGAACCAAAGAAAATAAATTAACCAGCTTAGTCCAATTTAGGTGGGGGTGGGCCTCAATATTGGCGGGGGTAATCAATTTGCTTGTCTTTGGACAGTAGAAGGAAGGTGGTTCTTTTCACTAGAATTGAAATGTTCTGATGTTAAAACGATCTTAACTTAAAGTTGAAGGCAGAACACTATTTCAGATAATGTCCTGAATGTAGTATTAACAGCTGAGATCAGCTTTTAAAAGCGGCAGCCTCTAAAAATAAAGACTCAAAAACGTCCCATTTGAAATTCTTGTCTGCAAACAGTTCAAAATTACTTGTCAAGCTGAGGTAATAGTAAAAAAATTCGGTCTCCTCTTGACTAAAGCTAATCCCAAAATCTGTACTCTGATCAGAAAAGATAAAAGTCAACACTTAAAAATCATGGTCGCCTCATCGTATAGACTAAAGAGGAGAGGAGCCATTATATGAGCTGTCAGTGCTTTGTTCAAGATTCTACATCTCTGATGTTAAGGGGAACCTCCACATCTGAAAATATTTAATCTCTTTTCTTACTTCTTCAGCATTTACATACAATGTTTCTGACCCAAATATGTCTTGAAATGCAGTTGCCATCATAATTTGCATAGATTCTTTACAAAAGTATTTGACAGTATCATATATTAAAGAATTACTGGCGAAGGTATTCTATTTATTCATTATGTTTGTATTTTTAATCCATCACCAAATTTTCACCTGTAGCAGTTGTTGTTGTATTTGTTGTAGCTTCCAAATGTTGTCAGGTATCCCAAGCATAAAGCATAAGAGTAAAATATTTGTGTTCCAGCATCCATCCAGACCTATAAACCAGTCATAAACAAACAATCTAAACAAGTCTTGACAGTTTTTGTCCAACTAACGCTGCACAAAAATGTTCAGCGTAAATGAGAATGAAGACTGAGTAACACCTGCGGGTCAGCCAGCCGTGAGGGATTGGGGTACAGGTAGTATTTGATACCATGGAAGGCTCCGGGAAGGGTCATTCCTCTGAAAAACAGCACCACTAACAGGACAAAGGGGAATGTGGCTGTAAAGTAGGTAGCCTGCACAAAAAAGGAAAGAAAAGATTCCAAACGTTGCAAATGAAAGAACATGCCTAAGAACTGTTGTTAGGTTGAAAAGTTTGATAGACACTTTTATGTCAGGACCACACCTTTTGGCTGGTTGGGTAATCACTCTAAAGACAGTATGAAAACTCACCAAACAGCAAATGATCTAACGAATCAGCAGTTGCTTTATCATGTCTGAGTGGTTTGGAAAATTAAAGTGTGGTTTAACCACTGTGGATTTTTTCTGTTTGAGAGAGACATGACACCCATCTCCTGAAAAACTGAGGAATTATACTTGGATTCCATTAAAAGTAAGAGTGAAGCTCTAGTTTTATGACTATATACTAAAGTTATCTAACGTTCATTCATTTAAAAAAACACCGGTGATAGAACTTAGTTACGCTCCAGTAGGTTTACTCGGAGGCAAAGACAGTCAGCTTCTGCTGCACAGATCTGTCTCTCAGGGCAGTTTTGCCATACAGCCAAAATACTTCAATTTTCTCACGTTAGTTCTTCCCATGTGTTGAGCAACCGACATGTGAGAGTAATGGCCAGTGGCCATTTTTTACAGCAAGATGAAAAACATCCCAAAAAAAACTGTCTCCCAAAGTTTTTCCCGCATGTGTCTGCAGGTCTGGAGCAACCACAGATGCCCTTTTACAGAAAATAAATCACCACTGTCACCATTTGTAGACATATTGTGCTGTATATGCAGCACAATATATGGAAAGAGCAGGATTTTAACCCGTAAAATCTTTCTCCCATTAGTGCTGCATACTTGAGTTCATAAAGCTAATTCATTAGAAGTTGAGCTGGTAAAACCTTTGAGTTACTTGAAAAGGGCAGGAATGTGTATACGTGAGAGACAAATATTGTCTTGGCAGCGGCCTGAAGGAGTGGGGGGGGGTTGGTGGATGCCTGGGTGTTATGGAGACCTCATGTTTCATTACTTGAATATGCCACACCTCAAGTTCTATGCCCAGCTCCTACAGTTTCAAACCAGTTTGGTCAAGTCATTTATGAACATTTATGAACACCTAATCATCATAATTCTATTTATAAATGTTTTCATTCAATCAAATGTTTTGAGAATTATAAGTCCTGTCACTGATTTTGTGTAAAAAAACAACACTTGAAAAGTAAAAAATTTTTGCAGCATTTTAACGCAGAGAGAGAAAATCCATCATTTTAGCACCTTCACAAGCACCTCAGCATGTTTAATTTAGGTTTATTGTTTTATGTATAGGTACTTTGGTCATGGGCATAAATAGTAAGAGATGAAAAAGAGATATGATAGAAATGTCCTGCAAACCCTGATTAAAATATTGTTGTAATCTCACATTTTTTTAATTTACATTTCTTTATGTCATCATCTTATATCCTTCAGGTATTCACAGAATTTCAGAAATAGGTCTCGATGTATTCTTCTTTTGAAAAATTTAAGATTGTGTTAATCTTAAATGTTTGGGAGGTCAAAATCTTACCCTTATGATATCCTTTTGTTACACACATTTCAAATTACAGCCTCACCTTTCCAGTGGATCTCACTCCCTTCCAGACACAAAAGTAGCAGATGACCCAGGACAGAAGAAGACACAGGGCTAGTTCCCATCGTATGCTTCCAAAATACTCGATTCCGATGGAAATGTTTAAAACCCTCCGCCTGTAAGATGATCTGAAGTTAGTATATGCAAACAATAATTCTAAGTCAGTTCTTAACAAGTTGAGTATCTACCAATGTCTTTACTCTGAGAAGATAGATTAACATAAATATAGTCTACAAAGCATTAACAGACCTAACACTTCTATTGCCCAAACCTGAATGTGGCCATTGCTTACAGGAAAGAAAATACACTCTCTGTCTGTTCCATAACTTAAAAAACGGGCAAGATATAGATCAATCAGGTCCTTATCAGGTTTTACATTTAGATAGATATAGTTTCAAAAGACATAATTTTGGATGCCTTTTCAAAATAGTTGTAGTTCTTTCAAGGCCCAACAAGCTTTTTTCATACCTGTTGTCTCCACAGGTGGAGACAACAGGTATGATTTTGGAAACTAACCCATTCTCACTGATCAAATATACCTAGAGGCCGACAACGACTTAAGGGATGTAACTCTTAAGTGACCAAGCATTTAGTAAATTACCTTTATCAGATACAATTCCTGGAATGAATTAGTGAATAAGTTTACCAATTTACTATTTCAAAGGTTTTGTTTATGGAACCGTCTGGCATAATCATCAAGCTAAGCAAAATTTCTAAAATACCAGGTGTTCCGTGGCCTGGAACACCTAGAAGTGGGTAAATGTGAGAGCTATTTAGCCGTAACACATGGAACCAAATCAATGTCCACAGATTTTGCACTTATCCAACTATTCCTGCACAGATTTAAGTCAAAATGGAAAATTAAGGGTGGAATGGCTCTTTGATCTATTTGCTTGTGGTGCTTAAGCTCTATAATAATTTAAATGTGTAACGTAGTTACTTCAGCACTGAGTTTGTTTTTGTTTGGGTCACTAATTCTCCTGTCATTTCAGATCCCGCCCTTCTTCCCTGCCATGCAATCACTCATTCCCCTCACCTGGTTCTCTCCGCCCATCTCCTCAACTGCAGTTCAGTAGCTCATTTGGTCCTAAGTATTTATACCACTCCATTTCCACTTGATCCCTGCCAGATTGTCTTGTGTTGTTCCATGCCAAGCTTTCCCGCATTCACCTGTTCTGCTTTATTGTTCCGACATCACTTTTGCCCTCTCGCACTTCGGATTCCTGCCTGCCCCTTATCCGATTTGTTTGCCTGTACGATTGATCTCCTGGTTTTGACCCTGCCTGTTTTTGGACTAAGTAAAACAGATTTTCCCTCACAACTTGCCTGCCTCGTGGTCATGCTTTTGGGTTCTCTTTTGCCAGGACCAGTGGTCGTGACAAAATCAGTTATCTATCGATTAGTTACACAAGAGTATTTACGTTACTTATAGAAAAACATTGATCTGTGAATAATTGCTTTTTAAATTTTGTGTAGTATTGATGGAAAAAATTGAGGAATAAACATACCGCCAAAACTCCATAACAGACGACGTTGATAAATTTACAGGGTGGGTCCAGTTAGTAGTGGCATTAGTGGGGTTTATTCCCACACAAAGTTCTGCAACATGTCAAAGTTTTCATGTTGACATAAATGTATGCTTATCATCAGATTAGTGTGACATTATAACTTCAATTTGCTTTATTGAATTCTCAGAACTTAACTTATGCAGGAAACATTGAAATAAGGCAGATATGGTAAACATATTTGCTAACAAACATTAAATATGTCAACATTATGTTAAGATATAGCTGTAAAGATATTTAACAATCTGTCATATTATGTGTGTTACAGAGATGTTACATTACATCAATATACCACTTAGAATACGGAATGAATTTACTTTACCTGTATTCCAGGTGTTATTACATGTGGTCCATGGCAACTCCAGACTGAATGAAGAGAAGAAGTAAAGGAATGCCCAAGCTAAAATCACAGCGTAGCTAATATTTCCATAGAATATTATCAGTTGGCTGGCGTACCCCATCCCTGAAAATGACATCAGCTGTTAAAACGGCATCCCTTCATTTCTACCTCTTGCCACACTTCAAACTACACCATAGTCCTCACAGTTCATTTACCTTCAAACAAGGGACAGACCTTCCTCCAGCATGTTATCCCCCCTTGACTGGTGTACTGGCCCAGTGCTGTTTCCAGTACAAACATGGGAATTCCACAGGTCACAAGGAACAGGGTGTAAGGGACGAAGAATGCCCCTGAGTGTGAAAATTCAGTGCTGTAAATGCTTGTTTAAAAAAATAGATTTATTTACTTAACAAAAAGACATCAGTGACTGAGATGGTAAAATGTGCAAACACTTGTGTCAACCTCATATCACAGCACCAGCACAGAATCATATATCAATCTGGAACACATCCCTGCAAATTTAATATTGGGATAAGTCCGAGGGCAAATTTTACACTATTTTCTTTCTTATAACAGAGCTGCGTAACACACACACAAGAAAAACTGTCTTGTTTGTTTTACTTTATTTCTTTTGAGCTCATCAGTAACTATAGCCTCTCTTTTATACATGTTAGATAGCACCTCATTCTCTAAAAAATACATTGTATGCATCAGCTCATAATCTTTCTTCATTCTTTATGAATTACAAAACAAATATATAAACTTTTATGACACAGTTTCATATGTCTAACAATATCATCGGAACCACGGATAAATTAGGGAAAACAACTCTGAGTGCCATGTGGCAGTTAAGATATGATGCATATCTATATAGATTGTTTTTGCATCCATGATTAGAAAACGAATGAAAAAAACCATAACAATCAAAACTGTAAATCACACTGAACAAACACCCGGATTTAAAATGTGTTGAGTAACGGAGGGATTGTTTCGTGAGCCTTGTGATAAACTCCACACCGCCGTTGCAGCTTTTTGCTTTGTTCCCTAGTAGAAACTGTGAAGGGATTCGCAAAGCTTGATATTGTAGAGTGGTTGTTTTTTAGCAAAAGATAAACATCTAAACTATATCAATATGTATATCCTTACTGTTCACCAGTTTGTGCATATCTTCAGAAAAGCGAGGAGGTGTTGAGCCATTTGATACGTCTTGGTAAGGAGTGATTTTTCCTTTCAAACATCTGCACTTTCAGATCAAATGGCAGGGCAGCTTAGCATTTCTTAATCTCCTCAAGTGATGAAGATGTGGACTGAGTAATTTTCCTTGCTCCACATGTCCAGAACTGAAATCCTGACACGTAGACATCCAGCAGCAGTTGCAAAATAGACAGAAGGGCGTGTTACATTTAAATAGTGTAATTAGATCCTCGTGACAGGCAGAAAACTTGGATAACTAAAAGCTCGAGCTCTGTGTTGTAGTCATGGCCCTAAAACCCATCAATTTCATTTCTTTAAAAAGTGTGTCTCAACACTCCGGGTAAGTGGACTCATGTGTGTTGATCAGTAGCATTCCCTTAAATCTCTGCAGTTGTTTCTTGATTAATTCAAAATTTTGCCACAAAAGACCTGCTGATCCTTTGAGATTGACATCAGATTTTTCCATCAATTATTGTGAAACCTTACGTTTTTAGTGACTTTCTTTTAAAAGAACAAGATTTTGAATGGTTTGATCTGTAGATTATTTTTATAACTTACCCTTTTACCTATACATATTTTAGGGGTGATTACCAGTAGTTAAAACTGCAGTGCTATTTAAATAAGTTTAAATCAGCTTTATTTACTTTCTTTGCTGTCTACATCAGTGCTGTGATAAGACATTCATTCCACAAAGCCATGTCAAGCCAAAATATTTTTTGGTTTTCATGAGGGTCTCTTTAAATATGCAGTCAACTCAGAATTATCAGCCATGTTTTGGGAATTTGGGATAAAGCCAGAGACCATGCAAGCGCTGCATGGTTATGCCAGTTTGGAGATTTGAAACAGGAGCATTCATGCTGGGGGTAAATCAGCACCCCACTGTGTCCCATATCATGTGTTATGACACCATGTTATTTAGTGTTTAAACGCAACCAAAATAAAATATAATACTTTAATTAAGAATCAAGGAAAAACTAAACACAGTGCCATCACTCTTGTGTTGAACAAACTTTGAAATAACAGCATATGACATCATAGTTTCAGCCAAGTTTTTACTCTTGATAGCATTACATTTCACTCTGCTGCCACCCGGTTCCAGGTCCTGTTGCTAAAAAAAACTTTCATCATCAGCTACCCCAATGTGTTTCAGTTGGATTTAGGAGTTAGTATTGATGCAGAGTTTGGTTCTCAGAAGGACTGGGTATTATGGCCAAGATCGAGACCTTAGTCATGTGGCATAAGTGGGTGATAGTGATATTCCTTATAACAAACATTGTTCTCCATTTAGTCATCTTTTTCAAATGTCTGGTTTGATTTTCCGCCAACCGTTGAAAGAGACAATGATCAAAACGCCTGTGCATTTGGCAAGCCTCCATAATGTTACAAAATTATAGGCAATTGCCATATGGAAGACTGCCAAATTGCCAGGTGGGTTCTCGCTGACTAGTGCAAATCGACTAAATGCTCATTTGTTAAAAACTAAGTTTGATAAAACTGAAAAGGTTAAACAGGTTTAATTCCACAAAATTTCACAAAAAATTGAGTACTTTTTAAATAAATGTTCTTATATTGTTCAAATTTGAAAAAAATAAACATTTATTCATTTGATAAAACCATTGCTAAAGAGATTAGCACTGTGCCTTGTGATGTATGTGTTTGCGTGTGTATACATAAAAAACATTCGTTGGTTTTAAATAGCATAGAATCAGATGAAGCAATACTGAGATCTTTGACATTTAAAAAAGAGGAGAGCACACTGAGTGTTCTGTCTTACACACAGGAGCTATTTTATAACTTCTGGCTTTGATTAAAAGGGTGAAACCTTAGCTCTATATTAATAAATAGAAGAGCAAGTCTTACAAGTTTATGATAAAAGCAAAAACATGCATTGTTGGGCAATAAAAAAAAAAGAAAAAGTTTATGAAGAGCTTTACAAATGTGCATGTTTAACTTGCATAAATTAAACATGCATAACTTTTAACAGTTGGAAGTAGTAATATAATCCTTGGAAAATAAAAAGTAGAAATGCTTACCACCGCCGTTCTTGTAGCAAAGATATGGAAATCTCCAAATATTGCCTAGTCCAATAATAGCACCGGCCACAGACAAGATGAACTCCTTTTTGCTTCCCCATTTGCCTCTTTCCTTAAAGGTTTGCTGAGAAGACCTTGTTGGGAGTTGACACAGCTTGTGCACAGAGTCTGCCATCCTGCTGAGTGAGAAATGGTCTACTGGCATAGATTTTCTTGAATGAATGACTAGGGACTAATGTTTAGGTCTTACCTAATGGTTACCTAATTGCATTATATCTTAGCCACAAGAGGGACCTATAGCTGTTTCCAAAACTGAAAGTTAGATTTGGTGAGTTATTTTTCTTCTCTTAAATATACAGAGGATGGCTGTATAAAAAAAATAAAAAATATATATATATACATAAACATATATATGTACACATACATATATATATATATATATATATAGAGAGAGAGGGATAGAGAGATGGATAGATAGATAAATTGCCCATATTAGCATATAAGCATCTGTGAAATCTTAGTTTCAGAAATATTATTGTATATTTCAGAAATTAGCTGCTATTTTTACAAAGAGCCATACCAATAAAAATGAGTCAAAACAAACACACCTTTACCTCCACACCTCTGCCTCCTGCCTGTAGCATGGACGATATAGAATAAGGTATGCTTCTGTTTTGCTCTTAGTTTTTCGTCTCAGTACTCCCCACCTCCTGTTATTCTTACACAAATTCATTTTCAATTTTATTTGTTGAAAAAATAATATATTCCACAACTGGGAAAGTTTTAAACCCCTGCCTTCAGATTAGAATTTTACTTTAGTTAACTTTTGAAAATGTACCTTTAGAAACAACTTTTTTTTTGTAAAAATACTAAATAAATATGTAATCATCACATGATGTGGTGAGTGTTCCTCCTTAAGAAGGAAACCTTGTGGGAATCAAAACAGTGATGATAAAAGTTTCCATAAACAAAAACTAAGTGATGACTACAACAAAAAATAACTGTCAAGGCTATAAGTTACTAACAAAACTAAAAGCTAATAAGAAACAAAAGAATGGAGAAAATATAGGGTTGCCTTGCTGACTGAAAAGCGGAGGTCTGTTGTTGATCAGGCTCTGATTAAAACTTGAAGAATATGGAGGGAGCTGATGTCAATAAATGAGCAGGTAAAGCAATCAGTAATGGAGGCGTTAGCACCAACTAACTCTTTCACCCTAAGACAGTGTTGTTGTCTTTTGGCAATACTGAACATAAAGATAACTCCTTAAAGTGGCCCAGCATTCAAAGATAGGGTCACATTTTGACTTGCATTCCATTTATCAGGAGACTATTTGGAGGTCAGCGGGCCTGGGGCAAAAAATGCCGAAACTGCCAAGAGGAGCAAGTTTCAACTAGACCACTAGGACTTTGAATAATTCAGTTCTTGTTTTCTTTTATTGGCTATGATTGCTGTATACAATGTAAACTAGAGTAAAGTGAAGAGACTGGGCTGTACAGTTTCTTAAAAGTGACATAAAGACCTGGTTAACACAAATTGACATTGTAACCTCTTTCTTTACTCACATCTAGTACCAAGCTGACTCAGTACTGCATCAGTGAGTACTCACACACAGTAAAATGGAGTTACTAAATCAGCAAGGTGAGATAAGCAGTGTTGGTAAAAGAGATGACACACACACACAACCAAAACTGTCTGAAACTGAAATTATTATTTTTTAAACCCTTGAATCAGCTACATTTTCTAAACAGGGCACCTCTCAGATATGAGCAGACAATTGTTTATTGGAATGTTCTGGCAATACAAATACTTCCTACGTCCATTAAAAACTAAATGTGTAACCCATTTATTGTTTATATACATGTGAATAACTGTATTAATTCATAATATTATCTGGAACAATGTAACCATAAAACACACATTCAAAAGTGTTCATTCCCTTACAGTCTTTCATTGATATAAGTTTACCAACACGGATGTCACACTGCAGTCCTGGAGGTTCCACAATTCTGCAGGTTTAAGACGTGTCCCTGCTTCTTCACTCCTAATTCTGATCAAATGGATCTCTTCAAACCTTTGTTAAGCCCTGCACAGGCCTTTAGATGGTGCACTGAAGTAAAACTTGCATTGGAGCAGGGCAACATCTAAAAGCTGCAGCACAGCAGCACTCGAGGACCAGAGTTTGACACCTGTGCTGCACAACTTTAAAATGCCACTGAGATTACTGAATTACAACATCATCTAAGCTAACATTTATCCGTTTAACGCTGGTTCTTAAGAAAATTACTTGATAATTAAGTGCATAATAGACATATAAGAACGGTTTAGCTGATTACAAACTCTTTTGTGGGAGAATTTTCTTTTGCCACTAATTAAAGCTTTTTCATCGGTAACAAATGGATCAAGAGACTGTGATATCCAATTATTCATGGTTCATTGTTCATACACTGTTAATGTAATTTAAGAGTCATGTTCAATGTCTCCAACCCATCCCAGAAGTTTGGGATTTCCTTTTTTCAGTTGAAAGGCTACAACTGGTCATAACCTTCCACAGGACCACCCTCTAACTATGATTACACAAAAAGGTGGGAAAAAAATGTATTATTGTTGCTGTCAGTGCCAAAGCCTCCACGTAAGATTTTAATCACTAGTACACGTGTTTCTATGAGGAAAAAGTGGGCTGTTCCCAGTCTTGTAACCTCAACAGCAGCATCTGAGTGAACAGGAAAGTAGTATCTCAGTAGTCCGTTCCAATCAGTGTTGTGCGGAGCTGATAATAACACACATTTCCATTTCATTAAACACTTGTTAGTGGTTGTCAGTTTTTTTGTTAACAACACAAAATTATTTTGAGTCTGGTTCTCTGTCCACTTGAGCTGAAATATATTCAAAGAAATATAACACACAAATTAGATAAAACTCACAGGCATTTCAAAGGAAATCAACGTTCGGAGATGACCACTCAGCTACATTTAATATGAGCATCAAACACAGTAATATTGTGTATATATATTTTTAAATGTGTGTTTTACAAAAGCGTATAAAACAAAAGGCAAATAGAAATCTGTCAAATTAATCCCACATATTTGTTAAACTTTAGAAGACATTTGACTTGGCAGTTATCATCCAAGTGGCTGAAACTTTTGTCAATTGATAAAAGCCTTACACCATGCCAGAATCCCACATTTAATTGGACATGTGTGGGTATTTGTTTGAATAAAAACGTCTCACAACAAATGTTCCTTCCAAACATCTCTTCATAAACTACATCATTTGGTGTGATGTGATGAGGAAGGTGGACTGAAAACTAAACAAATCAAAATCCAGCGGATTTGAAAAATGAGGATAATGTAAATCATTACTGTCAAATCACAAAACATATATGTTTGTCACTAAAAATGTTTTAAATTGGCCGGTTGGTTGATAGTGCCTCTCTACTGACAACTGACAACTTCTGAGCATCTAAGCAGTTTACAGACAGAAACTTAAAATTATTTTATTTAATGAAAATAACATACCCAAAAATCAAAAGCTTGAGTCTAAATACTGTGATTTTATTGATCAATAGGTCTTGTACAGTACCCTATGAGTGTCTCGTGGTCATGTCGCAGAACATATCTAAAAAGGACGTCTTAAAAATGTATAACACATTAGAATCTCTAAAAAAAGAAATACAAAGCTTGAAAAAAAGGTTTCAAATAGAAAGGTTTATCACACTTGCATGTCCACCTCAGTTCCACCACTTCCCTTGTATTCATTGGCAACAGGCATTAGAGAGTTGTCAGGGTTCAAAGGATACTGCTCAGGTTGCTTTGCTTTGCTGTTGATCTTGTTTTCAGGACGGCAAAGCTGCCTGACATTCTGTGGAAACAGGATCCATTGAGTCCATTCACCTGAGAAACTATAGGTCTCCAACTCTGTTCAGAAGCCATATATCAATACACCGAAAAAGTAAGTAAAGAATTGTTAATGGTGTGGCAGTTAGGTTAGTATGACACACTGCACTGGTTGTGTCTTGCATGCCGACTTTTCTCCCCCAACCTCCCAATGAACTTCATTTGTGTTGTTTTTATAGTACAATATCATAACTGAAAAGTTCACTGATTGTTTGAGGATTTAAGACGGATATTGATGCGTCCTCATGGGATGACTTGTAATACTGTTTTGATCCTTTTTCATAACTCTAGCATGTTTCTGAAAAGAAAAACATTGTTCACCATGATGTGTAGGGATGTGTGTCTGTAATTCCAAAATGGCTGGATGTTGGGTGCAATGTTAGAACTGAGAAGAAAAAACAACAACAAAGAAAATCTTGATAATGTCAGTAACTTGAGTTGATAAAAGAAGAGCTTTTACAGAGCTCCTAAAAGTCTAACATGAAAGGAGATGATATAAATCTCACATCTAATGTGCACTCAGGACACCCCTGAAATTTAAAATGGAAAGGGCCATTTCACTCACATTGTTCAGCTGGAAAGGAATTTAAAGAGATGGCCTAAGAACAACCCCTAAGGGTGTGCTTGGATGTCACATATTGGAATGCACCCTGTAGGAGAATAATGCCATGAAGCTAAAGAAACGTATCTTTGAGGACCTTCAGACTTTTTCACCGGATCTTTCGAACAATAAATCATGAGGAAGGTGGGCTAAAAACTAAACAAATCAAAATCCAGCAAATTTGTAGAATGAAGATAATGTAAATCATTACTGTAAAATCACAAAACATATATGTGTCACTAAAAATGTTTTAAATTGGCTGATTGATTGATAGTGCTTCTTTACTGACAACTGACAACTTCTGAGCATCTAAGCAGTTTACAGACAGAAACTTCAAATGATTGTATCTAATGAAAATAACGTACCCAAAAATCATAAGCTCGATTCTAAATACTGAGATTTTTTTGATCAATAGGTCTGGTACCGTACCCTATGAGTGTCTGGTGGTAATGTCGCAGAACAAATCTAAAAAGGAAGTCTTAAAAATGCTGCCGAACTTTTTAAAAGCTGTTTAAAAGCAACTGAATATATCAGAACGCTGGAGTTCTGGCAGCACAAACTGAGGGATGGTGTGGTGCAAAAAAACACCCACGAAGTCCAGGTGAAGACGCAACAGATAAATCATCCTCTGTACAGAACCTAAGGATTTACTTCAATAGACTCAGTTCAGAGCAGTCTGCATGCTCCACATCTACCTCACATTCAGCCTGTTCCACCTCTATAACGTCCCCCTGGACCTTTTTCATCGCTCCATATAGACACCATTGAAAACATCAAAGGCAAAGTTGTGTTCAGTTTCTCGCCCAAAGGCTCTAAGTCATGTCAACAGGTCACAGCCTCTGAGAGTGAGGGGTTAACCATCAGAAGCCCAGGAGCAATGCAGACAGCTTTTATTAATTCTGTACACATCAGACTTCCAGTTCCACCATCCCTACAAATAGTCACAAGTCTCAGCAGTTGTTTGGTGTCTGCAATTGTGATGAACGCTGATAGAAGAGCAGGAATAAGTCAAACACTGTTTCCATCCTAAAAGAAAGGTGGAGATCTACAAGTGCCTGGGTGTACCTGGACAGCAGACTACTAGACTTGACCATGGGTATCTATTACAATGGACAGCCTACTTATTCAGGAAACTTGGACAACTTGATGTCACGACTAGTTCTCGCATGTCTTCTTTAACTGATACACATGATTAGATGTAATATACTTAAATTAAAATAGTTTTGAATGATCTTTTTTATTCTTAGGAAACCACACTCTCGGTCAACATTCTTTTTTGTTCAAAATGTTTTTTTGTAAATAAATTGAAACTGTTGCTGTCATTGTCTGGTAATGTAAATCAGTCTGTACTGAGATTTGACAGCTGAATATGCATACATTTCATTAAAAGTAAACAGTAAAACTGCCCTTTTGCAGCTCTTCCCTCTATGAAATTCAAGCATTTAAAAAGAACAAATTATGAGTCACATTCAAAGAAGTCTGTTGTATCTGTGTTGTGTTGATGGTAGACATTTGACTGAGTTCTACTGGTACAGTATACCAATTCTGCTCTCTTTAACAAACCCTTACATTCCCCAGCACATCACAGGGATATCAAGTCTTCAGAATTCAGGTTGAGGAGAGAGTCACCTCGGGATAACACTGTTCTTTTAGCTGTAACTGCTTCCACGAATGAGTTTAACCATCACTGTACTTCCTTTTTTTTTTAAAGCATCTACCATAATTTTGTCCTGCTTGGGCACGCCGCTCTTAAGCCCAGAAAAGAATCTGCTTTGTTTAACAAAATGAAAACTTATCTTCAGATGTCAGACATTTTCTTACCATCTGATCACAGCAGAAAATGTTGAAAACCAAAACCATTTAAATAGCATGTGGTTCAAATTAAACAGGAACTACATTTTGCTAATCACACAAATAATACGATTATGATCATATTGGATTCGTTTTTTTAAAAGTACTTACCTGCCATATTGTGCCTTTCATCCGAGTCATTTTATAGATGATCCACAGAGGAACCAGAAGGACGCAGAACAGTCCAAGGAACCAGCCTAATGCGTATGCCCAGGTTGGATATGTATATGTTTTGTTGAACTTTAGAGGTTTGTATCTCACCACAGAAAAGATGAATGTACCCTGATACAGTAAAAGGAAGGGAAAAAAATTAAATTGGCTCATCGTTGGATCACTGATATTAAAACAAATCAAAAGACTCAATGCTTAAGTCACCTGCTGTTTTTTTCCACAGTTTGTTTATTTCTAACTATTTTTTGTGTTGTTTTTCTTGTTCTCCATACTCTATAAATTATTGAAAGGTCTTGTTGTGGTCTTCAGCAGTTATTGCTCTCAATTTTCTTTCCAGTTCTTTGCTTCTTTAGCAGATCATTAAAAACAGATAAATGTTCCTACTCATACATTTGAATGTCAACATGACTCATGTTTCCTGAAATATACACAGTATGGCAAATATGTAAAGAGCTATGTTAACCTTCTTCGCCAACACGTAGTGGGAACTCACAGTGGGAAACATTATTTCTGTAATAATAAACCAGATTTCCAATAGAATTTTTTTTTCAAACTCTTACAGATCCTTTCATAAAACCACCTGTTTTTGGTCTTGGATAACTTTTGCCATTTCACCTTTTCTAAGATAAATCTAGTCTTTATTTCACAACTCTTTCCGTTCACTGATTCTTGGATAAATGACTAGTTATGAAATGTTGAAGTGGATTTATTTGTGACTCATAGCATTGTTTTATTTGATATCAGTCCAAAGAAAACTAAATGTGCCGTAGGCACTGTTAACAGATAGCGTTTGTTTCTTATAATAGTCAGATGAGGTACCTCAGAGTAATAAGCTACTCACCTGGAGCAGGCAGCAGGCAGTGTTTTCATTTTAGATAGTAAGGCACATTTTTTAAGACAGATAAACTGAGATCAACCCTTCTCAGAACACAGGGACAAATGGGTAAAATGACAATATTACACCACAGTGGTACTAAAACTATTTCTAAATGGAAGACTGCCTGGGTAAAAAATCGATTTCTTTCATCAGTATGTCACACAGATCCAAACATACCAGTTAACTATACCAAGTTTCGTTTGTTTCTTAGAAAACAGTCTTAACTCCATCTATTCTGTACCAATATATCGAGGAACCTGTCATTTTGACTTACCATACAAACAGCAGGGGTTACGTACAGCCAGCAAATCTTCATTATGGGTCCTGGACGGTAACTTATCATGTCTTCGATGTTGTCATACAGACGATCTGCACCTGTTCAGAAATCAGTTTGATTTTAAAATCTGGAGAAAACCTTGTTTTAACTCCATGTTTTCATATTAAACTTGAGTAAATATCCATTTATGAATAAAACATCAACAACATTTGCAAGTTCGTCAAATACACCAGGAGCTATGTGTGATAGCTATGCAAGTTGTAACAATGATGGTGAGGACATTTATGTATAGCCCAGATGTTATTTGTTGGTATTCAACAGTGTTTAAGTCCCTAATTTCTGAATGTTTGAATCATATGTTATTATTTGTTTCAATATAGGTACAGATAGATATTTTTTGTTACCATAGACTCACCATATATCCATCCAATTGCTATTGACTGACACACTGAAAGGAGCAGAAGATTGTTGCCACTACAAACATAGTGGTCAAAAAGTTGTAGGAAATACAATCCCCCCTGTAGTAAGACAGAGGTTTAACCGTTTCAGCAAAAACAACACTTGTTGAAGTTCAGGTTGACTACATAAAGATAAAAAGATCAATTGAATCAGATGGTAAATCAGAATAAAAACATCAAGCACGGTTGTTAGAATAAATCCATTTGTATAGAGAACACAGAGCTCTGACCTCTGTGACAAGAAGGAGTCCGAGGAAAAAACAAACAGTGCATAGACAAAGCAGCAGCAATTCTCTGCGATAAGCTCTCCGAAACACAGTGGGGAACATATCTGTGACAGAGGTCATCAAGCACTCCAGACTCACAAACTATCAAAAAAGGAAAAAAAAGTAACACATTAAGGTGGAAACTGGGTTAGTGACCGCTAACAGTGGAGAGGTTTTTTGGTATTTTTGTTTTACCTGCGTATCAGCGCCCAACAAGATGACCATGATAAAGAAACATATGGCCCATAACTGAGGTAGAGGCATCATGGCCACTGCTCGAGGATAGGCAATAAATGCCAGACCAGGTCCTATAATATCAAATGGAGGTGCAAACACAAATTATACTTTAAAAAGTTTGAAAATCCATGTTTTCTTTGAAAAAAAAATCAGTAAGATAAATTATATGAAGCAGTTAATTCGGTTTTATCGCTGCAGTCAGGGTGCTTAGTTGTGTGGGGTAATTTAGCAAAAAATCTAACAAGGTTTTCATTACCAAGGGTTCGGACCCCATAGGGGCTTTAGCTGGAATATGGCAACAATATGGTTTGTCTGGATAAATCAAAAGACCAAAAATATTTTTCCTCCCCTTTCATCAATCTGTACCCACATTTGTTGCATCAAGAAGAATAAATTGGGATTTACATCCATGTCAGTTCTTTTATAGATATGATATAGTTTAAATGTTTGTCTTACCAGATGCAGCCACTTGAGATATAGGCAGTCCTTGTTCATATGACATAAAGCCCAAAACAGAAAAGATTGCAAATCCTGCAACAAAACTGGAGCAACCGTTTACCAGACAAAGAACAAATGTGTCCCTGGAGGAACAACAAGAAACACAGTGCATTTAGTAAAGAGCAAAGCAAAACTAAACTAATTGGTCAATATGAAGTTTTTTGTACAAATTTTGAGCCTCATCCTCTTCTAATTATTTTTTTTAATCATTGGTAAATTATATCAGTCTAGATATGCATTTCAGAGTAACTGAATAGGACTTTTTTTTAAAAATCCGTTTGAATGTGTTCATGCTAGTAAATTTGCCTTATTACGCTACTGCTGTTTATTTCTCTGTTATTATTCTATTATTCTATTCTATTCTAGACTATTAACAGTAAGATGTACCTGTCTATAACTATGTGTCAAACTGAACAAGAGACTAAGTTCTTAAATCTAATTTTTAAATGTATATTTAAAAGAAAAATAAAGTACTCACTTGTAACAGTCATTGTTATACTGATTGTAACTGCCCAGAGCCGTCAGACTGCCCTGACAAATCCCAAAAGAGAAAAGAACTTGTGCCCCGGCATCCATCCAAACCTAAACAAATGTAAACACAGTTATGAGCTTATAATTTCCGGTTTAATATCTCAAAGAGAGGAAACTCAAAACATTTAAAGCCTGACATTAAACAGCTTTCAAAGATTTGGACTTCCGTGGGAAACCACTGATCTCAAAAGCTTTCTTTATATTGAACAAGCAGAATTCTGGCATGTGCTGATGTATCACTTACTTGAGGATCCACCAACCTTGTGGGGTCAGGATATAAGTAGAAAGCTATGCCATCCATTGCTCCCGGCAAAGTGAGGCCACGAGCCAAGAGAACAACCAACATTAAATAGGGAAATGTAGCTGTAAAGTAAACTACCTGTGAAAAAAAGCAAACCAACATTTGAGTTTGGGAGACAGAGCAGTCACATCACACTTTAGTCATCAAGTCAAGCAGGGCATGGCGTAATCCCCTCACAATTCTTCACAGGATTTGTAGGCAGTTTTAGGAATATTTTTAATATGACGAGTCTAGAACTTGAGCAGTTTTGACACTGAATTCATGGTATCAGGACTTAAAGATGTGTGATGTTTGGAAACATAAGTCAGCTGTTGTTATATTTTCGGTATATTTCACCTCCTGCATAATTCTATAGCCCTTAAACCTGCTGCTTTCTTTGGAAAACCTGTAACAGGTATGAATAGCTTATCATCAATGGTTCAATAATAAAAAGTTAAGTTGCCGAAACAGTGCAGAAGTTTTAAAATCATGACACAGTAAGAGGTGCCAACCTACTTCCTTATGACAGGCTCCGCTTGGTAACAGAGTGATGATGAATTTCATGAATGCCATAATGGTTAGATTAGGCCAAAAGAGGGAAGACTGCTCTTTTGCCAGCTTTAAAACAAATAGAGACCTGCTCAGTTGTTCAGTTACAAATGGTACTTGCACAATTTTTACTGCATCTGTCTTAGATTACGGTACTGCTTGTTTTAGATTTGTTCTGTCTTCAGCTTTTTTTTGTCACTGTGTAAAGATGAGATAATCTTTTAGACTAATCTCCACCTTTATATTCCAAAATTATTTCTCTGGTCACTTTTAATCTGGAATAACATGATTACTTGACTCCTTCACTATTATAGTTTGCAGTAGTAGCAACTTTGTTTTCCAGACAAAAAAGCTGTTTAACAATCCAAGCCATCAGCATAACCACTTGGGAAAGATGATAAACATTTCTAAGTTCCCACATGCCATCATGAGTCATTCCAAAGATATTTTGACATTAATTTGCATCTGATCAGATCAAAACATGCTGTGCCAGACGTGGTCTGAATTAAAAGAATTTTGGTAAAGCCTTGGCCGAATCTCCCTTTTTATTGTTTATGGTTTTGTATTTTGTGATAGACGTAACATACTTTCATGAAATTTCTCTCTGTGATATGCTTGCGTAGTGATAAACATACTTCCAGAGGACAGATTTTCACCCCTCTATTGTTATCATCCACCACTGTTATTTGTTAACATTTTAATTGAATTCCACCCATATGTATCTCTACCTTTCCAGTGGATCGCACTCCTTTCCAAACACAAAAGTAGCACAGGATCCATGCCAGTAACAGACACAAGGCCAATTCCCACCTCAAGCTACCAATTTCTTCAATTCCCTGTGAAATACCCAGTACTCGTCTCCTGAAAAGAAAAACATATAATTCCTGAAACAAGAGGAGCTGACACACTTCAGAAAATGGATCAACTTTGCAGACAGTATCTGAATTGTTGTTGTCTATAAGATGTCGTCTAGACTTAGACATGTTGTATGGAGCGCATTAAGTTATTTTTCTGTAACCAAATAAGGCCAACTAAACAATTCTAGATGCCAAATGGAAATGATGCTTTTGAAGATACAGTTATCACAAAATAAAGTCTACAAAAAATGAAATATAGGGAGTTCAAGGTTTCATGTCAACCTATGCAGTTCCACGCCGTTCCTGTATGTCTACATTTACAGATCATACACAGCTATTAAGCCAACAAAGTATTCAGTCTGAAAGCTAATTGTTAAATGTTGAGTGCCAAATGTTTACTCTGTTCAGAAATTATCTTCCAATTCAGGAGTTTTGATAAAGAACAATTTTGTGAAACATTAAATTTGGTTGAGAGGGAGATTAGGCAACCTTGCTTTTAAACTGTAGGTGTGGATGCCAATTTTTAATGAATACACAGGTCAAAGCCTTTGACATAAGCATCCATTTAGTAGGTTACTGTGCAAAAACGTGTGTGAGACTTTATTTCAGAAACAATTAGGGAAAGAAGATTTCTTTAGAACGTGAACATGAAAGTGTATGTGAATCATCTGGGATGCCTCCATCAAATGAAAATGTTCTGGTTTGGGTAGAAAATTACAACATGCCAACAAATATTATTTAGATTGGCTTTTTTTAATTTTATTTTGCCACTATTCGTTAAAGGAATCAATCAGGTTGACCATATTGCATGATCAAAATTTTTAGTGTATTTTTTTCCGATCTCAACATATTGGTTATGAAAGGAGAAATGGAAGGAGCACCCAACCAAGAGTTCTATCCCAGCTCATATCTGGTGGGTCAGACTCAATTGAGTTAATAAAAAAATACAAAAATAATAACAGAATCTACCGCATGGGTGTTAAATTTATCACAACAAGCAGAGTTTGTTAACTAACCATAAAAACTGTGTTTAAGGTCTGGTCACTTATTTCTGACTTAACTAAGAAATTACGTTTACGTAGCAACTCAATTACGATTTAAATATATATGTTTTTAAGTTAACGTGTATACGGACAGTACGACACACACAGTAGCTCTGAATCCCTCTTTAAAGTGTACTAACTATGTTTAGTTTGTTCTCAATTTATTGCTGTTGTCATGATAATAGAAACTGATGACAGACTTTTGCCTGAGAATAATCCAAAGAGATTGAACAACGTAACTGAGCCTCTTGAATATTGACCTGATAAACTGAAGCCCCTTTGGAAGAGGGATGAAATATCCTCAAAAAAGGAAATCTCTTCGCATTACAATGAACTGGATGAGTAAGATTAAACAAATAAAAAAATACAATATTGGCTTCCTGCATCAGTTTGTTTGGATACCATTTTTCTAACCCCAGAATAGAATCCCCATGCTCAAATTGTAGGGTAAGATAACAAAATCCTTTCTAAGTGCATGGTTTTTCTATCTAACCACTTATTAAACATATAAGCACCGGAGAAGAAAATAAATAAAATCGTAATTCAAGTTATTTTCATCTTCAATTGTGTCCTAATCAAAAGTAAAAACAGTAAAAAACTAGATGACTCCATCAAAATGAACATGTAGCTTATTTGTAGGTGTTTTGTCATTGTCATGCTAATCTAAATGCTAATGCCAGCATGCAAACTTGGTCAGACTCTAACATCTTAATATTACGCACCTTACAGTTTTGCTACCATAATTTAGCAAGTTAACATTTGATGAGCGTAGAGAAAGCTCATCATTATGTGTTTATGAGAATATCAGCTTTTTGCAGACTGAAGACGAAGCTGAAAGGCCAGGATCCATCCCAAGGGAAGAAACTCAAAATGTGCCACCAAACCAGTTATCATTTCAAAACGTTTCATTTGACAATGAAAATGCTGCCCCACCCAGAATAAGTTCTCCGACTGATGGCTCTGTATACCATGTATTTGTCAACTATAACCTGTAAATTATGGGAAGGACAAGACAAGACAAAGACACACCGACATAAGAGGGTGTGAATACACCTATAAAAGGAGGCAGGTGTTAATTACACTTACTCCCAGAATTCTGTTGCAGGTGTTGTTGCGTTTGAAGGTGCTGTCCAATTGGATGACACATTTGTTTTATCAAATTCAACACAGGATTCTGATTAATAAACAAAAAGAAACAAAAAACATGACATTTCATTTTACCAGTGTGCATTGCACTGCTTTGGATAACAATGAGGCAGACATGTCTCCATTTACTCAGAAAAACTACACAATATCCAACGTCTATTACTGTGGGATTAAAAGATTCCCAAAATGTGCCAATGAAATCTTGAAAATATGGTGGATGAAAAATTACTGGTTAATCACATAAGACACTAACTTGACCTACTGGTGAAACTGCTGGAAAGCGCTTTTTTAGTTGTTGATGGTGGTAGAGATATTAGTACAACCAGTGTAATTTTTAGATAAAAAGATGAAGTCAAACTTATTGGGATAGTAAACACATACACCCAGATTTCTCCGTACCCCCAGACATCCTGCAGTGACTTATTTTCTGCATCTGTTTGCGTATATACCTGTATTCCAGGAATTCCTGCAGCTGGCCCAAGGAACCTCTGCACTGAAGGATGAAAAGAGGTAGAAGAAGGCCCATGCCTGGATGACAATGTACGAAACAGCAGCATATGCAATCACCACTTGAGTGGCATAGCCGATTCCTGTAGAGACATAGAAGATCAGTTCATGTTTCATGTTCAGACCTGATGGACTTTGCCCAAACATTAACTATACACTGTTTACCTTGATCCTAATACCGTCCATGCCACATTTACAGTAACAAAAAATTAAAAATTTTCATCACAGTTTCATCCTGATCTTATCATATTTTGACACTTTTTTAAGCAACTTTTCTGAAAGCATTTCAAGCAGTCATAGATTGCAACCACCCACAGAGACTGTATACAGAATACTCTTTTTCAACTTATGTAGACTTTAGATTGAATGTTCTAAGCAGTAGATTTATTTTTATTTCTTATAGGACCAGCAACCTGGAAAAATATTAGTTATTCAACAAACTTTATCTATCTGCAAACTCAGTAAAAAGTGAATAAATGAAATTATCTTGGATGTAATCGCACTTTCTGCCAAGCAGGACTTGATATGTAATATAATCACCCTTATTCAAAAAGAGTATTTTGGAAAATCTTTATCATCTCTCACAGTGTTTTCTTCATTTGTGGTGTGATGTCTGTTTAGAGCTTTTCCATTCTCAGATACCTGGCTCAAATGAATGGCTTACAAACAGGTTTTCTTATGAAATAGATGACAGATTGATGAGTTCATTCAATTAAACTCGGAACAGTGGAGCACCGGAAAGCATAACATTTTGAAGCCTTAAAGAAATAACAGGATAAAGAAAAGTTACCATAGCCTTCATGTTGTGAAACCATAAAGAATTTTGGGCTAAAATCGAGACAAAACAAAAGATACTCAAACGTTTTGATCATGTGCCTTTCATAATTTGCCTTTATATGCAGTTAAATCTGTTCCATCTATCTAAAATACAGCCTAAAGGTACATAGTATACAGTGATATCTAGTGGCAGATATGGGATATTGCAAAAGCTGTGCACCCTCAGCTTATGGTTGATAAAAAAAATTAAATCCCCATCCTAAAGCCTGCCCATGGTGGCCGTGGGCTGACGGAGGCAACCTGCCTTATGCTCGGATTTAAGGGCTCATTCTATGCTAATGAAAACTGAAAACCATTATTATTGCACTTTTAAAAAAGGATTGTTTTCTACTTTCTCCACTGTCGGGGTTTACTGGTGTGTCTAATTCACTGCATCTTAAACCTATAACTTGAGCTACAGGTAGCTATGTTTAAATTGGGAATTTGATACTACATGAGGAAGAAAACAGTAAAACTCTGGAGGCTATGTTGCGTTTGACCTCTACAACAAACTAATTTATTTGTGCAAGTCGTGCAAATTTCTTTAAAAGACAAAATTGAAAATGAAAAAAAAACAGAAAGCAATGATTAGTTAAAGACAGTAAATCATAGAAAACAACAAATGTGTCTGGAGAAATATTCACCTATTTCAGGTCATTATAAGGTCATTTTGAATGTGTCAGCAGTAAAAAGAATCTAGCAAAAAGGGTGGGATGCTATCATGCTCACTGTGTAGCATTCCCTGCTTTTAAACAGTGACGTGCAAAGGAACTTTTGTTTTTATTTGGCCTTTGACAATGCACATGCTTTTTCAGTTAACATTTAATGAATTTAACTTAGCTTTCTGTTCAGTACCCAGACTCTGCAAAGCCATGCTGATGCAGTATGTTGGGTAAATTTGGTCTTTATTAGATATCAAAGATCTTCCTTGAAAAAGTTGTGGCATTGATGAGCGCATGTGTCATTTGATTTACCTTTGGGCATTGATGGAGCCTTTCAGGAGTGCAAGTTCTCCTTTCATACACATGAATGCACCTAAATACCATCAAAGATACAGGCCTTTAATCTGAGAACTGAAAGTAAGCTGGATAGGTCACAGGGTGTGGCGGATATAAATTCCAAAGAGAATTTCACAATTTGATTAATCAGATCATCATCTGGTTTTCTCCTTTGCTCACTTCAAGTCTGCTTTGGCCTGAGAAGACTTTTCCTTGGTAGATAGATGCACCTGATAGATGTTCAAGTTTTTTTTAAAAATGATTTCTGAAAGTTTTCAAAAGCAATGATTTCCATGAAGACTCGCGCTTGTTTCTGAGAACCTGGCGATAACTTGTGCAGAGAAATTCCTGCTGTCTTTCTGAACCTTTTGGTGATCATATTCAATGTCTTGACAGTTTGACATCTCGGCTTACTGTTCTGACTTTTGAGATGATTACTAAACCTCTAATTTTCAAATCCAAGATATTCTCCTTCTCTAAGGCACTTTCTTCATGTTTCTAACCGATTGCTGATTAACCAGTTAAATTAGCTGTTTTATATTTATCACCTCTGAGTTTTCCAGCTGTATGCTGCCTCCATCACAATGTTTTTTTAGGTATATCACTTCCATCAGATTCAAAACTATGGAGATTTTTTGCCTGAAAAGGTTACATGCCTTACTGTCAACATTTACTATGTTTTCTATGTTCAGCTGAAAATAGAGATGTTAGTCTTTCAGATTAATAAAACTGGAGAAATTTAAGCTTTTCTTAAACATTTTCTTCTTTTTCTTTTAAAGCCAGAGACATTAGCTGTTTAAAATGTTCATGTTTGCTTCACATGTAAAAAGTGTCACCCCCTGATTTTGAAAAACACATTCACTTTGTGAGCGGCAACCTTTCATGAGTCTCCTCAGGTAGGTGTGTGCACACATGCACACATTACTCACTCTTTGAACATAATTTGCACAATATTCCTGAGGAAGAAAATTAGGCTTACTCATCAAAGGGAAGAATTTACTCAACTTATCACTTTTCACATCCACTTGGTGTACGTGATAAGATGCATGCTTGGAATGTGAAGCTGGAGATATGTTATCTGTTCCTTCACACCTTTTGTGAACTCTGTAACTGCTTCAACTTTTCTACTATTTTCACACCTTCATAAATCATCTTTGAAGCATTGGTGTCAGTCTTCAATGTGTTCTTTGCCAAGAGTCCCATAATTTGTTATTTGGACTATCCCAGCACCGATAGACAGTCTATTGTGCAAAGAAAGGCTTCTGAGGTCAAAATTCATCAGGTTTCACAGGTGTCTAATGTGCTGATAATCAGTACTAGCTTCTAAATGGATAATTGTGTTTAATGGCTTGGCCATTTTTGTCGTGTTTGCTTTGTACACATCCACTTGTTTGATGTGAAATGTACTCAGCCATTCAAATAATTCACATTGATGACATGTCCAGTCAAATAATTCATATATATGACACGTCAAAACTGAAGAACATACTTCAAGATCAGGCAGTCATTTTGAAAAAAGTTCTGAACGTTTTCATACATTTTTACTCAGCAGATGTGGCTGGAAGCTAGACTTTTGGCTTTTTTTGTGCTTCAAAGGTTTGTGCCAGAATTTCGCACGTCTTTACAGAGGAAGCACTTTATTACTTTTTGGTGAGAGGGCACATCTCTCCAAAGGATCTTCCTGAAAAAGGAAAAAAAACAGTCTGGTTTCATGAAATCCCTGTTTGCTGTCAGATAAGGACCATGGTCTTTTTTTCCCCCACCTGTTGTAATGGTCAAAAGTCACAGTTCTTTAATCTGATGAGTATAAACCGAGTGTCTAACTGGGGGCTGTCCTCACACAATAGAGTGGGAAGGATTTGAATTCCAAAATGAAAGAGAGTTTCTTCCTGAGAAGAGCATGTTTCTTGGGGTGGTATGATGGATTTGAACTACTCCTGACACTAAAGCTTTCATTCAGTTGTCCAGAGTCCTTTAGTCAATGTTCAGATAAATGGCAATGACTGAACATACACAAAACAAGCCTCTGTATAAATCTCCAGTCACTGGCCAGGACAGGCATTATGCAACAATTCCACTCTGCCAGTAGAGAAAAATACAGGACACTGGTTATGGGGGTGGGTGCTCTTCTGGTATATAAATGGGTTTTTTTTTTCTATTCTTCTGCTTCAATTCTTCTGCAGCACAGTGATTTATTTTTATTCTGATCCTAAAACAAACAAGAAGCTTTTGATGTCTTGTGATACCACCACTGTAAGGTCCACGGGTTCTCAGTCACATTGTCCCCTGCTCAAGGCCATTTTTTTTCATTGTTACTGATACCAATCTATGTTTCGAATCAGTTTTATTTTTAAAGGAAAATTATATGTGATGTCCTTTATCATTTTTGTCTATTTCCAAAATAAAAAGAATGGAAGAGTATGCTTTTAAGACTACACCTTATACATTTCCATTCAATATTTATGTTTGTAGTTTGAAATTCAACATTGCACATATCCTCATGACGGCATAATGCCTAACAAACTATTTTTGCCAACTACCCTCTGCAAACAACTGACCTTCAAATAAGGGGCAGAAATGCCTCCAGCAGGTGATACATCCCTGAGACGTGAACTGCCCCATGGCTGTCTCCAGGAGAAACATTGGAATGCCACAAGAAAGCAGAAAAAGGATGTATGGGATGAGAAACGCACCTGTGAGAAACAAAGCTGAGCATCACACAACCATCTTCATTTTGCAAAAAGATACTTCAGGGTTCTTTATTTGATTTGGACCTGTATTATGATTTTTTTTTTTCATTTGACAGAAAGATTAGTCTTTATGTCCTTCAATAAAAGAAAATTGATATCATGGAAATGATTCATGATTCCTCTAGTGCTAAAAAAAGAAAAAATAGCATGCTTACCTCCTCCATTTTTGTAGCACAAATAAGGAAACCTCCAGAGGTTTCCCAGCCCAACCAGGGTTCCTGCTACGGCCAAAAGAAACTCTATCTTGTTTGCCCACTGGCCACGATCCAACAGCTGAGTCTTCTTTACTGAGGTATTTTCCTGACCTGGCAACTCCAGGCTGTTTCCTTTAAGGAAGTCCCTGGACATTTTTGAGCACGGTAGCAGAAACAGTCAGCAAAATGTCTCCCAAAACTCCTTCTACTTCCTGCACATTTAGAGTGCACGGACTGTCAAACCTCGATTATTCAGAGAGAAGTACTCAGCTGATCATTTAGCACTTCTGAGAAGCTTTATTGATTTACTCATTTAACCAAAGCTTGCAGGATTATAAGGAGCAGAAAGATTTTACTGCCAAGTAGTTGTCGGAAAAGCTCTAATCTATTAGAGCAAATTTTGGGGTTATTATACAAAAAAAGAAGATAAACTTACCCCTCCATTAGAAAGCCCCCTCCCCTGCAGAGCTGCTTCCAACTAAACAGCAAAGTGATCAGTATTCCTCTCAGCTAGGTTCACCGTAGGAACTCTACACAAATAACATGGTATGAGCTCAGCCAAAGTGAGAAACAATGTAGCTATGGTTTCTGTTGGCTCATCTATGACCTAATTATTGTGGAACCGGTTCGCACAATGCAATCAGAATTGGAAAAGGGTTTGGCTGTGAAAAATTCTGAGGTAATGCCACTTCCATGCTGTACTTTTCCACTGTGACAGGACCTTGAGTAACTAAGATTAGTGTGCAGTTGGTCACGACTAAACCAAAGCAGCTGAGCCCTTACTGCAATGTCAGTTGCTGTAAACAGAGCTTAGCTACCTGCCAACAGGGAATTTGGAGCATTGGGTAATAAAAAATGCAAAAAAACAAAACGGAAAAAAAAACTTATAAGCAGCTCTATATGAAAATGGCCATTTGGTGCAAGTAGAATAGGTGAATAATCTGCTCTATTGTCCATTGTATTTGCAGGGGTAATAGGTTTCTCTATTTGCACAAGTTTACTTTCATGACGTTTCCATCAATAATTCACTTAATAAATCCTGCTGATCACAAAGTAAGTGTTTTCAGTTTCCTCTCTTCTGGTTTACAAAGTCAAAAACATTACTCCAAGTTTATTACTACTGTGACCATTGGATGTCATTGAGGCTTCAGTAAATTTGACCTTATCTCAGTTTTATTGTTTAGATCAAGATAAGGAGCCTGTAATGCCTCTACATAATATTTGCTCACTGAACCAGAGATTAAATAACGAAAGTAAATGATTTAGTGTAATAAATTACATTTCCAAGAAATAAATGATGCTCTTATTTAAGTATCTCATGAAAATAAGTACTGATCAATGTGCCAACATATATTGACCACTGAATGAGAAATAATTTTTGTAAAATACTTAGT